CTGAGACTTCCTCGCAGCGCGTTTCGCCCGAGACATCGTCGCAACTCTGGGGTCCGAGATGCCGCGCGCGAGGTGGTCCAGCACTGTCGCCTGAGACATCCTTGCAACTCTGAGCTCTGAGATGCCGTGCGCAAGTTGGTCCGGCCCGTTTCGCACAAGACATTCTCGCAACTCTGAGCTCCCAGATGCCGCGCAATAGGTGGTCCAGCCTGGGGGCACAGAAGACCACATGTTACATATCCTCCTTGGGACCTGGGAGCCCCAGGAGGCCCCAGAGAGCTTCAGGAAGCCGCAGGACGCCCAGGACAGGCCCCAGGGGTTCCCAGGAGATTCCCAGGAGGCTCCCAGGAGGCCCCAGGAGGCCCCCTCTCAGAACGTGTCAAGTTAATATACATCAGGTGTCGATTCTTTGATTTTTCCTGCTCTTGTGCCCTGTGGCCCCGACGGCCACATGTTAGATATCCCTCCTGGGAGCCCCAAGAGGCTTCAGGAAACCCCAGGTGGAGTTCAGGAGGCCACAGGAGGCCCAGGAGGAAGCCCCAGGAGGTCACCAGGAGGCCCCAGGAGGCCCCAGGAGGCTCCCGCAACTCGGAGCTCTGAGACGCCGCGCTCGAGGTGGCCTGGCCCGTTTCGCCTGAGACTTCCTCGCAGCGCGTTTCGCCCGAGACATCGTCGCAACTCTGGGGTCCGAGATGCCGCGCGCGAGGTGGTCCAGCACTGTCGCCTGAGACATCCTTGCAACTCTGAGCTCTGAGATGCCGTGCGCAAGTTGGTCCGGCCCGTTTCGCACAAGACATTCTCGCAACTCTGAGCTCCCAGATGCCGCGCAATAGGTGGTCCAGCCTGGGGGCACAGAAGACCACATGTTACATATCCTCCTTGGGACCTGGGAGCCCCAGGAGGCCCCAGAGAGCTTCAGGAAGCCGCAGGACGCCCAGGACAGGCCCCAGGGGTTCCCAGGAGATTCCCAGGAGGCTCCCAGGAGGCCCCAGGAGGCCCCCTATCAGAACGTGTCAAGTTGATACAAATCCCGTGTCGATTCGTGGATTTTTCCTGCTCTTGTGGCCCCCCCCCCTCCCCCATTTTGGGGAGCCCCGACGGCCACATGTTAGATATCCCGCCCTGGGAGCCCCAAGAGGCTTCAGGAAGCCCCAGGTGGGGTCCAGGAGGCCACAGGAGGCCCAGGAGGAAGCCCCAGGAGGTCACCAGGAGGCCCCAGGAGGTCCCAGGAGGCCCCAGGAGGCTCCCGCAACTCGGAGCTCTGAGACGCCGCGCTCGAGGTGGCCTGGCCCGTTTCGCCTGAGACTTCATCGCAGCACGTTTCGCCCGAGACATCGTCGCAACTCTGGGGTCCGAGATGCCGCGCGCGAGGTGGTCCAGCCCGTCACGCTGGAGACATCCTCGCAACTCTGGGCTCCGAGATGCCCTGCGCGAGGTGGTCCGGCCCATCTCGCCTGAGACATCCTCGCAACTCTGAGCTCTGAGATGCCGTGCGCAAGGTGGTCCGGCCCGTTTCGCACAAGACATTCTCGCAACTCTGAGCTCTCAGATGCTGCGCAAGAGGTGGTCCAGCCTGGGGGCCCAGAAGACCACATGTTACATATCCCCCCTAGGACCCTGGGAGCCCAAGGAGGCCCCAGAGAGCTTCAGGAGGTCGTGGGACGCCCAGGACAGGCCCCAGGGGTCCGCAGGAGATTCCCAGGAGGCTCCCAGGAGGCCCCAGGAGGCCCCCTATCAGAACGTGTCCAGTTAATACACACCTGGTCCCCATTTTGGGGGGCCCCGACGGCCACATGTTAGATATCCCCCCCTGGGAGCCCCAAGAGGCTTCAGGAAGCCCCAGGTGGGGTCCAGGAGGCCACAGGAGGCCCAGGAGGAAGCCCCAGGAGGTCACCAGGAGGTCCCAGGAGGCCCCAGGAGTCCCCCGCAACTCGGAGCTCTGAGACGCCGCGCTCGAGGTGGCCCGGCCCGTTTCGCCTGAGACTTCCTCGCAGCACGTTTCGCCCGAGACATCGTCGCAACTCTGGGGTCCGAAATGCCGCGCGCGAGGTGGTCCAGCCCGTCACGCTGGAGACATCCTCGCAATTCTGGGCTCCGAGATGCCCTGCGCGAGGTGGTCCGGCCCATCTCGCCTGAGACATCCTCGCAACTCTGAGCTCTGAGATGCCGTGCGCAAGGTGGTCCGGCCTGTTTTGCACATGACATTCTCGCAATTCTGAGCTCTCAGATGCTGCGCAAGAGGTGGTCCAGCCTGGGGGCCCAGAAGACCACATGTTACATATCCCCCCTAGGACCCTGGGAGCCCAAGGAGGCCCCAGAGAGCTTCAGGAGGTCGTGGGACGCCCAGGACAGGCCCCAGGGGTCCGCAGGAGATTCCCAGGAGGCTCCCAGGAGGCCCCAGGAGGCCCCCTCTCAGAACGTGTCAAGTTAATACACATCCGGTGTCGATTCGTTGATTTTCCTGCTCTTGTGGCCCCCCTGGGGGCCCCGACGGCCACATGTTCGATATCCCGCCCTGGGAGCCCCAAGAGGCTTCAGGAAGCCCCAGGTGGGGTCCAGAAGGCCACAGGAGGCCCAGGAGGAAGCCCCAGGAGGTCACCAGGAGGTCCGAGGAGGCCCCAGGAGGCCCCCGCAACTCTTAGTTCTGAGACGCCGCGCTCGAGGTGGTCCGGCCCGTTTCGCCTGAGACTTCCTCGCAGCACGTTTCGCCCGAGACATCGTCGCAACTCTGGGGTCCGAGATGCCGCGCGCGAGGTGGTCCAGCCCGTTACGCTGGAGACATCCTCTGGGCTCCGAGATGCCGTTCGGGATGAAGAGGAGGTGGAGGAGGAGGAGGAGGAGGAGGAGGAGGAGGAGGCATGTTTTAATATGCCATGCCAGCTCGCACTGGACGGGCACGCAATCGACCTTGGAAACCGCAGTGGGTCTAAAAACCCTGTTTGGGGATGCTGCACTCCGGCCCTAATTCCCAACCATCCTGTGGTGTTGGGTCCTCGTTTTGAAGAGACGTCGCCCCGCGTTCCTCCTCCTCCTTCCTCCTCCTCCCCTTCCTCCCCCCTCCTCCCCCTCCCACACCCATTCTGGCACACCCCTCACACGTTTCGTGGCCCCATAGGGAGCTCCACCGAAGGCCCCAGTGGCTGCGCCCGCATGCGGTTCCACCCCCCACTCTGGCACACCCCTCACACGTTTCGTGGCCCCATAGGGAGCTCCACCGAAGGCCCCAGTGGCTGCGCCCGCATGCGGTTCCACCCCCCATTCTGGCACACCCCTCACACGTTTCGTGGCCCCATAGGGAGCTCCACCGAAGGCCCCAGTGGCTGCGCCCGCATGCGGTTCCACCCCCCATTCTGGCACACCCCTCACACGTTTCGTGGCCCCATAGGGAGCTCCACCGAAGGCCCCAGTGGCTGCGCCCGCATGCGGTTCCACCCCCCATTCTGGCACACCCCTCACACGTTTCGTGGCCCCATAGGGAGCTCCACCGAAGGCCCCAGTGGCTGCGCCCGCATGCGGTTCCACCCCCCATTCGTCCCCATAGGGCTCCACCGACCCCAGTGGCACACGGCACACCCCTCACACGTTTCGTGGCCCCATAGGGAGCTCCACCGAAGGCCCCAGTGGCTGCGCCCGCATGCGGTTCCACCCCCATTCTGGCACACCCCTCACACGTTTCGTGGCCCCATAGGGAGCTCCACCGAAGGCCCCAGTGGCTGCGCCCGCATGCGGTTCCACCCCCCGTTCTGGCACACCCCTCACACGTTTCGTGGCCCCATAGGGAGCTCCACCGAAGGCCCCAGTGGCTGCGCCCGCATGCGGTTCCACCCCCCATTCTGGCACACCCCTCACACGTTTCGTGGCCCCATAGGGAGCTCCACCGAAGGCCCCAGTGGCTGCGCCCGCATGCGGTTCCACCCGCCATTCTGGCACACCCCTCACACGTTTCGTGGCCCCATAGGGAGCTCCACCGAACGCTCCAGTGGCTGCGCTCGCATGCGGTTCCGCCCCCCATTTCGGCACACCCCTCACACGCTTCGTGGGTGGCTCCATGGGGAGCTCCACCGAACGCCCCAGTGGCTGCGCTCGCATGTGGTTCCCCCCCCATTTCGGCACACCCCTCACACGGTTCGTGGCCCCATAGAGAGCTCCACCGAAGGCCCCAGTGGCTGCGCTCGCATGCGGTTCCACCCCTTTTTCGGCACGCCCTTCACACGTCTCGTGGCCCCATAGGGAGCTCCACCGAACGCCGCAGTGGCTGCGCTCGCATGCGGTTCCACCCCCCATTTCGGCACACCCCTCACACGTTTCGTGGCTCCATAGGGAGCTCCACCGAAGGCCCCAGTGGCTGCGCTGGCATGCGGTTCCACACCCCATTCTGGCACACCCCTCGCACGTTTCGTGGCCCCATAGGGGGCTCCACCAAAGGTCCCAGTGGCACTGCCCGCTTGCGTCCGCCACCACCCAGCACAGCCCTTGTTCCCTGCGCTTCACCCACCCAGAACAGCGCTTCGTAGCCCTATAGGGAGCTCCACCAAAGGTCCCAGCGGCACCGCCCGCATGCGTCCGCCACCACCCTGCGCAGCCCTTGCTCCCTGCCTGCGTTTCACCCACCCAGTACAGCGTTTCGTGGCCCCATAGGGAGCTCCACCGAAGGTCCCAGTGGCACCGCTCGCATGCGTCCGCCACCACGCAGCACAGCCCTTGCTGACCGCGTCTCACCCACCCAGTACAGCGCTTCGTGGCCCCATAGGGAGCTCCACCGAAGGCCCCAGTGGCACCGCCCGCATGCGTCCGCCACCACCCAGCACAATTGCGGCATTCACAACTGCATATGGTTGGGTCCTTCGCCAGGCTAATTTTTTATATCACCCTCCGTAGCCACTGTGGCTCAAGTCCGTCGCCCAGGGCGCGCCAGGCGCGGGCTCCCTCCTTCCTCTCCTGGTGCCCCTCCCTCCCCCCCCTCTCCGCCCTCCCTCGCCGCAGCGCGGGACCGCGGAAAAATGCACGTGGCTGTTTGCGTGGCGGGCGAGGCGCGGTCACTCTGGCAGCCCGAGGTGCACTCCGGGCTGCTCGAGAACCTGTGGCGCCTGGAGCTCGGGGGCACCCTGCTGGACACCTACCTCGCACTCGCGGAGCAGGACGAGGCCGCCGCGGCCCGGCACCGGGCGGTTCTGCGGGCGCTGCGCCCCCGGGCGGTGAGCTTCGACCGGCGCGGGGACTGCGAGGGCTCGCCGCTGCACTTCTGCGGGCTCTGGCTGAAGTTCCGCAGGTGCCGCGACATGATCGAGCTCGCAGAGTCGGAGCTGGGCGTCGCCTACGCCTGGGTCCTGCGGGTGCGGCCCGACGCGCGGTGGCTGGACAAGTTCCCGCCACCCCGGGGCCTCTCCACGAGTTTGGTGCACGCGCGCCTGCGATGCCCGGGGCTCGATCGGGTGAGGACGAAGGCGCTCTCGCACCACGTCATCAAAGGGACCCCCGAGCTCTTGCCCGGCAAGTGCTGGCCGGCGCCTGGGCGTGGGGCGCTGCTTCGGCTGCGCGCAATAGTGACCTCTAGCGCGGACCCACAGGGGTTCCCCCAGCAATGGTTGGAGCGCTTGGATTTGGCCTCCCCTAGAAAACGTTGTTCTATTCCTGGGCTGCGATAACGGGCGTCACCGGGGGGAGGGACGGGTGGGTGCTGGTAACGTCACGTTTCGTGTTGGCGCCGTCTGGGAACGTCTAGAGATAACCAAAGACAATTCGGAGGTCAGCACGAATCGTGACGTTACCTGGGGGGGCGGCTGGGGCTGGTAACGGCCGCTATCGCGAAAAACAAAGAACGCTCTCCTGAGTCGGGGAAACCTTGTACTCGAGTAAGCGGGGACTCGGGTTTGTCGGCGTTTTTTGGCGAGCGCGTCTTGGATTTTGATGGTCCGATTTTCATGGGATGTCTGCAGCGGGAGCTCGCGTCAAATTTCCGCTTGGGCCTCGTCATTTTGATGATGGCCCCGTCAGGCCAACCCGAGTCCCCCGAACCTGAGTCTTACGTCTCCCCGACCTGAGGCCGCTCACCAGAGGTCATTCCTGCCCAGGGTCACCCTTGCGTGTAGCCAACTGCTCAGCTGCGCCTGCCCGCTGTGGGGCTGCCCGGCGGAGGAGCAGCTGGTCGACGACAACGCGGCGTGGGTGCCGAGGCGGCTGCTCCGGAGGTACTTCGGGGTCGAGGGTGAGCTGACCGAGGGCCTGAGAAGTTTCCACCCATCTGGGAACGAAGAATGGCATAAACACACAAACTCGGAGGTCCGCGCGGATTTCTCGGCTCGGCGCTGGACCCCCTCACTGGCGCGCGAAGCGCGCCAGGGGCAGCGCCGGAGACGCCGCCAGGGAGGTCCAGCGCGGATCCGAGAAATCCGCGCGGACCTCCGAGTTTTTATATTTATGTCATGGTTCGTTCCCCTGGCCCAGAGGCCCTGCTCACCAACCACCTCCGGAGGGGCGGCGTGTCGTTCGCGCCAGCGGAGCTCGAAGAACAAATAACGACATAAACAGAAATGTTGGGAGCTCCGCGCGGATTTCTTGGATTTGCGCTGGGTCCCCCTGGCGGCGCCTCCGACGCTGCCCCTGGGGCGCTCCGTGCGCCAGGGAGGGGTCCAGCGCAGATGGCAAATCCGCGCGGAGCTCCGAAAGTCATTGTTTATGTTTTTTTTCGTTCCTCAAAGAGTTTCACTTCGTGATCAGGCGGGAGGACAACTGGTACCAGGACGGCGCTTACCACATTGGCGTCGAGCAGTACTACTGGAAAAACCTGTCCCGGCCAGACGCCGAGTACACGTGCGACTTGGCGCCCATCGTGCACAGGCGTTTCTCAACCGTTTGCAGGCCGGGCTTGGAGATTAGAATCTGTGATGATGTTGCGAAGCAGGCGGTGAAGGGCAATGGCTCAATAGTTGGATCGAGGTGGCTGTGGTTGGCAAAGTTAAGAATGTGGTTCGATTCTGCCCTGTGGCGTCGGTATCTGGAGCTCGACGACACGAGAGAGGAGGCGGCACGTCGCACAGTAACTTCATTTCTGTCCGCGATGTTGCCCGAGGTGGCTGGCCGGATGGAGCAGATCATGTACAGTGAAATGTACAGCAGCAGGGACAGAGATTCTCAACGCTTCCGAGATGCTCACGATCTAATGATTCACATATCCATCCATCTGCTCAACTGGAGGGGCGACGTCTACAAGACGTCGCAGGATTGGCGCGCCTGGTTGCGGTCGATCGAAGCCAGGTGCGTCGAATTGATCGGCGCATATGGCGGTGGAGGTGGCAGCACCCCCACAAACTCTTTATCACTCGAAAGGTGGTCTTATCGCTAGAGGTATTGTGTGACGCACCTTGCGGAATGAAGCGCGCACACGCGTTCTTCCCTCCTCAGGGTAGATGCCCTGGGCTCGAGACTGTCGCTTGTCCCTCCTGCGTGCCTCCCGTGATAGGGGGGCAGACAATGACATAAACATGGAAACACGGAAATCCGCGCGGATTCCTGGGTCCGGCGCTGGACCCCCTCTCTGGCGCGCGGAGCGCGCCAGGGGCGGCGCCAGAGGCGCAGCGCCGATCCGAGAAATCCGCGCGGACCTTCGAGTTTTTCTGTTTATGTCATTGTTTGTTTTCATATTTGTCCATATCTGTCCCTCCTGCATGCCTCCCACGAGCTTCGCGTGCGTATCTGCTCGTTGCTGGCGAACATCTCGTCGCCGGCGTGGCATTGTTGGCAGGAAGGTCCAGCCCGGGATCGTGCCATCTCGCTCGCGGTGCACGTCGCGCTGCCCGCGTTGTTGCCAGAACGCTTATTCCGACCGCGCCCGCCCTGTCCTGGAACGACGATCCAAGAGCAATTGGTCAGAGGAGGAAAGTACCAGTACTGCTACCCTCTCCTCGTTTCCCCCTTTTTGTGCCTCCTGGGAGGCCCTCGTCGCCACCGCTAGATTCGCTTCAAAAGTTTGGTCAGAACGTACCCCAGGAGAGGTCCAGGGAGTAGCAGGAACGACGATCCAATAATAGTTGTAGGGGGTCAAACAATGACATAAACAAACCAAATTATAGCCGGAGTGCAGTATCCCCAAACAGAGTTTTTAGACCCACTGCGGTTTCCAAGGTCGATTGCGTGCCCGTCCAGTGCGGGCTGGCACGGTATGTTAAAACATGCCTGCTCCTCCTCCTCCTCCTCCTCCTCCTCCTCCTCCTCCTGAGCGACGTTCGCTCCTCCTCCTCCTCCTCCTCCTCCTCCTCCTCTCCTCCTCCTCCTCCACCACCTCCTCTTCATCCCGAACGGCATCTCGGAGCCCAGAGTTGCGAGGATGTCTCCAGCGTAACGGGCTGGACCACCTCGCGCGCGGCATTTCGGACCCCAGAGTTGCGACGATGTCTCGGGCGAAACGTGCTGCGAGGAAGTCTCAGGCGAAACGGGCCGGACCACCTCGAGCGCGGCGTCTCAGAGCTCCGAGTTGCGGGGGCCTCCTGGGGCCTCCTGGGACCTCCTGGTGACCTCCTGGGGCTTCCTCCTGGGCCTCCTGTGGCCTCCTGGACCCCACCTGGGGCTTCCTGAAGCCTCTTGGGGCTCCCAGGGGGGATATCTAACATGTGGCCGTCGGGGCCCCCCAAAATGGGGGGGCACAAGAGCAGGAAAAATCAACGAATCGACACTGGATTTGTATTAACTTGACACGTTCTGATAGGGGGCCTCCTGGGGCCTCCTAGCCTCCTGGGAATCTCCTGCGGACCCCTGGGGCCTGTCCTGGGCGTCCTGCGGCCTCCTGAAGCTCTCTGGGGCCTCCTGGGGCTCCCAGGGTCCCAGGGGGGATATGTAACATGTGGTCTTCTGGGCTCCAGGCTGGACCACCTCTTGCGCAGCATCTGAGAGCTCAGAGTTGCGAGAATGTCTTGTGCGAAACGGGCCGGACCACCTTGCGCACGGCATCTCAGAGCTCAGAGTTGCGAGGATGTCTCAGGCGAGATGGGCCGGACCACCTCGCGCAGGGCATCTCGGAGCCCAGAGTTGCGAGGATGTCTCCAGCGTATCGGGCTGGACCACCTCGCGCGCGGCATTTCGGACCCCAGAGTTGCGACGATGTCTCGGGCGAAACGTGCTGCGAGGAAGTCTCAGGCGAAACGGGCCAGACCACCTCGAGCGCGGCGTCTCAGAGCTCCGAGTTGCGGGGGCCTCCTGGGGCCTCCTGGGACCTCCTGGTGGCCTCCTGGGGCTTCCTCCTGGGCCTCCTGTGGCCTCCTGGACCCCACCTGGGGCTTCCTGAAGCCTCTTGGGGCTCCCAGGGGGGGATATCTAACATGTGGCCGTCGGGGCCCCCCAAAATGGAGGGGGGCCACAAGAGCAGGAAAAATCAACGAATCGACACTGGATGTGTATTAACTTGACACGTTCTGATAGGGGGCCTCCTGGGGCCTCCTGGGAGCCTCCTGGGAATCTCCTGCGGACCCCTGGGGCCTGTCCTGGGCGTCCTGCGGCCTCCTGAAGCTCTCTGGGGCCTCCTGGGGCTCCCAGGGTCCCAGGGGGGATATGTAACATGTGGTCTTCTGGGCCCCCAGGCTGGACCACCTCTTGCGCAGCATCTGAGAGCTCAGAGTTGCGAGAATGTCTTGTGCGAAACGGGCCGGACCACCTTGCGCACGGCATCTCAGAGCTCAGAGTTGCGAGGATGTCTCAGGCGAGATGGGCCGGACCACCTCGCGCAGGGCATCTCGGAGCCCAGAGTTGCGAGGATGTCTCCAGGCGAAACGGGCTGGACCACCTCGCGCGCGGCATCTCGGACCCCAGAGTTGCGACGATGTCTCGGGCGAAACGTGCTGCGAGGAAGTCTCAGGCGAAACGGGCCGGACCACCTCGAGCGCGGCGTCTCAGAGCTCCGAGTTGCGGGGGCCTCCTGGGGCCTCCTGGGGCCTCCTGGGACCTCCTGGGGCTTCCTCCTGGGCCTCCTGTGGCCTCCTGAACTCCACCTGGGGTTTCCTGAAGCCTCTTGGGGCTCCCAGGGGGGATATCTAACCTGTGGCCGTTTGGGCCCCCCAAAATGGGGGGCCACAAGAGCAGGAAAAATCAACGAATCGACACCGGATGTGTATTAACTTGACACGTTCTGATAGGGGGCCTCCTGGGGCCTCCTGGGAGCCTCCTGGGAATCTCCTGCGGACCCCTGGGGCCTGTCCTGGGCGTCCTGCGGCCTCCTGGAGCTCTCTGGGGCCTCCTGGGGCTCCCAGGGTCCCAAGGAGGATCTGTAACATGTGGTCTTCTGGGCCCCCAGGCTGGACCACCTCTTGCGCGGCATCCTGGAGCTCAGAGTTGCGAGAATGTCTTGTGCGAAACAGGCCGGACCACCTTGCGCACGGCATCTCAGAGCTCAGAGTTGCGAGAATGTCTTGTGCGAAACGGGCCGGACCACCTCGCGCAGGGCATCTCAGAGCTCAGAAGTTCGAGGATGTCTCAGGCGGGCTCCCAGGTTTCCAGGGAGGATATGTAACATGTGGTCTTCTGGGCCCCCAGGCTGGACCAACTCTTGCGCGGCATCTGGGAGCTCAGAGTTGTGAGAATGTCTTATGCGAAACGGGCTGGACCACCTTGCGCACGGCATCTCAGAGCTCAGAGTTGCGAGGATGTCTCAGACGAGACGGGCCGGACCACCTCGCGCAAGGCATCTCAGAGCTCAGAAGTTCGAGGATGTCTCAGGCGAAACGGGCCGGACCACCTCTCGCGCGGCATCTCCGAGGTTAGAGTTTCGAGGATGTCTCAGGCAAAACGGCCCGGACCACCTCTCGCACGGCACCTCGGGGCTCAGAGTTTCGAGGATGCCTCAAGCGAAACGGCCCGGACCACCTCTCGCGCGGCGTCCCGGAGCGCATCTGTTGGAGGATGTCTAAGGCGAAATGGCCAATCCCGGCCAACTCAGAAACGAGAGTTGTGAGGATGTCTCAAGCGAAACGGCCCGGACCATCAATTTTTCCCAACCATCCTGTGGTGTTGGGTCTTCGTTTTGAAAAGAGTGCGCCCCGCGTTCCCACCTTCCCGCTGCCCCCCTCCCAGTGGGTGTGCCCGCATGCGTCCCGCACACCCATGTCGGCACACCCCTCACACGTTTCGTGGCCCCATAGGGAGCTCCACCGAAGGCCCCAGTGGGTGTGCCCGCATGCGTCCGGCACACCCATTTCGGCACACCCAGGGAGCTCCACCGAAGGTCCCAGTAGGTGTGCCCGCATGCGTCCCGCACACCCATTTCGGCACACCCCTCACATATTTCGTGGCCCCATAGGGAGCTCCACCGAAGGTCCCAGTGGGTGTGCCCGCATGCGTCCCGCACACCAATTTCATCACACCCTTCACATATTTCGTGGCCCCATAGGGAGCTCCACGAAGGTCCCAGTGGGTGTGCCCGCATGCGTCCCGCACGCCCATTTCGGCACACCCCTCACACGTTTCGTGGCCCCATGGGAACTCCACCGAAGGTCCCAGTGGGTGTGCCCGCATGCGTCCCGCACACCCGGGTGGCCCGCTCCGACCCGCAAGTGCCCCATAGGGAGTGCCGAAGGTGTGGGTGTGCCCGCATGCGTCCCGCATGTCGGCACACCCCTCACACGCGTGGCCCCATAGGGAGCACCGAAGGCCCCATTGCGTCCCGTTTCGGCACACCCCTCACACGTTTCGTGGCCCCATAGGGAGCTCCACCGAAGGTCCCAGTGGGTGTGCCCGCATGCGTCCCGCACACCCATTTCGGCACACCCTCCACATATTTCGTGGCCCCATAGGGAGCTCCACCGAAGGTCCCAGTGGGCGTGCCCGCATGCGTCCCGCACACCCATTTCGGCACACCCCTCACACGCTTCGTGGCCCCATAGGGAGCTCCACCGAAGGTCCCAGTGGATGTGCCCGCATGCGTCCCGCACACCCATTTCGGCTCACCCCTCACACGTTTCGTGGCCCCATACGGAGCTCCACCGAAGGTCCGAGTGGGTGTGCCCGCATTCGTCCGGCACACCCATTTCGGCACACCCTTCACGCGCTTCGTGGCCCCATAGGGAGCTCCACCGAAGGTCCCCGTGGCGCAGTCCGCACGCGTCTCCCCCACCCAGTACACGTTTGTCGGAGGCCGTCGGAGTTCCGCGCCTCCCTCGCCCGTCGTCGCTCTGCCCAGCGGCAAGAGCCTTGCCAGCTATCAGCCAGCCAGCTAGCTCTCTTTGCTGCGCGCAGCGGACGACCCGCGCGCGTCGCTGGAACCCCTCCGGGGCGACCTGCGCGCGTCGCTGGGACTCCGCACTGCGCTGCGCCCGCAGCTTTGGACTTTTGAGTGCGCGGGCAAAGAGGGAGTAAAAGAAG